GAGCTGAATGGTTCAGATATGTTGATGAAATTTTGTGTCTTATGCCTAAGAATGTAGATATACACCACCTCCTTGTTAAATTCCCAGTTCCTACTAATATTAAACTTATTAAACTTTGCATTGTTGATGAAAAATTTGTATTTAATGATAAGATAAGATTTCGTTCGGATTTTTAACCCCGTAGGATTAGCTAGCCAGGATAACCAAAGAAAGTCAGTGCGTCATCGAGGACTGTCTAACTTATTTCCATTGGGGTCCTCAATCTTGTCCCCCAGGATGCGACCCGCACCAGTCGACTAACACCAAGGCACCTATTTGCTGCTAGTTGAACAGGACAACAGGTGTAAGGAAACGTGTAGAAATGTTTCCACCCGCCGGGAATCGAACCCGGGCCCTCCGTGTGTCAAGCGGCAGCTTTAGCCACCATAACCTATATATGGAATTTTTTGAAACAAGACTGCTTAACAGAGTCCTCTCTAATAGAGCTAAATGGTTCAGATACGTTGATGAAATTTTGTGTCTTATGTCTAAGAATGTAGATATACACCACTTGATTGTTAAATTAAATAGCTTAGCCCATTCTACATATTTTACTGTTGAGTTTGAGAAAAATAACTCAATAAGGCAATTTTAAGTGAATGGTATAATTCACTAAGCACCATAGCTACCTTATTGTTCTGTGTTACCTTCAACCATGTAACTTTTATTCCTCGAAATATAAATATTGTACCTGGGAAAAAAGATTTAATTTTTCTATCATTGGTTGTGTCAAGTGTTCCTGCTGCTGGTGTTGCTGCTATTGCTGCTGCTGCTATTGCTGCTGCTGCTATTGCTGCTGCTGCTGTTAGTGTTGCTGCTGTTGCTGCTACTGCTGTTGTTGCTGCTACTGCTGTTGTTGCTGCTACTGCTGTTTCTGCTGCTGCTGTTGCTGCTGCTGTTGCTGTTGCTGCTGCTGCTACTACTGCTGTTGTTGCTGCTGCTGTTGTTGCTGCTGCTGTTGTTGCTGCTGCTGTTGCTGCTGTTGTTGTTGCTGTTGCTGCTGCTGTTGCTGCTGCTGCTGCTCTTGCTGCTGTTGTTGTTGCTGCTGCTGCTGCTTCATTAAAGCAATGTCACTGACGCTAAATCCTCCTCCATTTTCTATTCTCGTCTCTCATTGTTATTCTTATTGCACATCCCTGACATCAAACTATTCATTAAGACAAATGTCATGATTCTGGGTTGTATACTTTCATACTCACGGAATCGTAATGACACGATTGCAAACAAACCATACTGGTTTGGAGTTTTGAGACTCTCTGATCGCGAGTTCCATCCCCGCCCGTTGTATGGTTTATACTTACTTACATATAAGCATATGAAGAAATTGCTCAAAATGGCCGTGACAGCCTGGGGTGCTGCTGACTCGGATTCACATCTTAAAATAATCTGTAAGGTTCATTTTCATCTATGTGTCAAGATTCATGCCAAAGTTTTAGTAATCCACTAATTTCTTTTTATTTGTGTGACTGAGTTATGACAAAGTAGGGTTTGAAACTACAGTATCTGTGGAGACAAGGTTGTGAAAGGAACATGCACGCTTGGGTTAATTAAGTCCACCAAATGTCCCTCCATATTCCTCTGAAAGAGGAAATATGGAATCTTATAGTAAGTAAAGTTTATTCAGGTATACACAATTACATAGAATTATCATACATAGCAGCATATGTGTAGAGAACCTGGGATAACCCAAAAAAGTCAGACACAGTGACTTATTTCCGTTGGGGTCCTTATACATGTGAAGTCGTCGATTTTCTCTATGTGACTTCCTGTTTTCTTCTTTTGCCTATATAGATACACTTGGGCAAATGGCCTTCCTTGCATCACTGTCGACTATGGTTACACGAGATTTATACAAGGTCATTTAAGGACGGTTGTTTTGCTACACAATGGAAGCGCTGTATAACCCTTGCGGTTTAGCGCTTCTTTTTGATTATAATTAATTACACAATGGAAATATTACCATTTCATATTTATTTGAAAAGTTTACTCTATAGCCCTGTTAATTTGAAAGGTGTCTTTATTATTTCCCTCACGTTTTAGTTTCCTGTATTTTTGTTGGTTCTCTCTGAAAGTACCACCATTATTGATACATTATATTTGGTTTTTCATTGGAGACAGATGTGTTGCATCGATTTTTTTTTTTGAAGTATTGTACTGCCCCGCCTTTCCTTTTAATTGATCTGAAAGTCCTATTCGTCAGATACAGGATTCTCATTAACCTGAAGCAATAAATGACCACGATTTCTTGCCATTGTGCCAGAATGTAATTACAGGCAAACATTTCAATATGCGGAAGAAGAGACGGGTAGAAATGAGTGATTTATTTTAAATTTTCTCATAAATAAAGATAAAAAAAAGAAGATATGAGAGACAGCTAAAAAAAATATGAAACAATACAATTACTAACTCAGAACTTTTCCCTCAGCTTTCTTGGATGGATTTTATGAAGAACGACGCGTGT